CTCTCTCTCTCTCTCTCTCTCTCTCACACACACACACACACACACAAAGACACAGAGGGAGCAAAAGAGCGGGGTTGCCGTCTTGACTCCTACTCAGCCCCTGTGCTTTTAACAGCATTTTTGAAAAACTGCGTGGCCTTCTCTGTCCTAGATGAGGACATCTCAGTTTCTGCTCAAAAGGGCTCCGGAGTAGCTAAGGTGGACCTTCGTCAAGGACTCACCATCATGAGAAAGCGTAAGGAGCCCGGGGCACCTCAGAGGCTCGCCCTGCCAAAACCAAGGACACAGAACAGGTATCACCCTAATTAAGGACCCCACCCAGAAAGGAATGAATAAAGACCGAGGTAGGATCCTGAACTGGAACAGCAAGAAGGATGTTCTTTCTGAATCTGAAGAACACCTCCTTCTGCATCTTGGTGAGAAACTCACCAGGAATGGAGCAGGAGCCAGGAAGGACAACCAGACCCCCCCATCCTGTCTGAGCTCCCTCAAAAAGCTTGACCAGGTCACACCCTCTGCTTGCTGTAACATCTCATTGGTAAAATGGGAGTGACAGGGTCTACCTCACAGGGCTGTTCCTAATGCAATCATCATCATCATCATCTTAGAACGGCAGAGCCAGAAGGGACCCTCTGGATCATCTTGTCCAGCCCCTGTCAAGGAAGCACAGATTGAGAATCGAACTCCCAACCTCTTGTGCCGCAGGCAGAGACCTCAACCCCTGAGGTCTCTGGCCAGCTAACCCTCTGAGAACGGCAGAGCTGGAAGGGATCCTGTAGACTATCCAGTCCAGCCCCTGTCAAGAGGGGAATCGAACTCCCAGCCATCAGGGACCTAAAACACGGTGCTCTCCAGCCATCCACACCACCCTGCCGTCCAGCTGCTCAGTCCGGGGTGCCGAGGGTCCCTCGGAGTGGGTCTGGCGTTCCTCACCTCCTCTTCCAGCCCGAGACGCCAGGCGATTCGGGCCACGTAAACCCGTCCAGGGCGCGGCTTACCTGCCAACTTGAGCAGCGAGTCGTAGACCTTGCACTGCATCTGCCCGGTGCTCTGGGTGACGCAGGACATCCAGAGGCCCTCGTAGATGGCCTGGGCGGTCACAATGTTGTCACCGGCATAGGAGGAGATCTTCCACTGCGGCATGGCCGTGCTCACCACGATGCCGATCCAGCCGATGAAGGCCAGGATGAAGCCCAGCATCTGCAAACCCCCGCTGGCCATCTCTGCCCCGACCACTGCCCCGGGACACCTAAGCGGGAAAGAAGGAGGCTACGGAGGTCTTCGAGGTCTTTCGGGAGCAGCAAAGCCTCTGCTGAAGATCCAGAAACTAATGGCTTGGCTGTCTGTCTCTCTGTGTCTCTCTCTGTCTCTCTCTTGCCTGCTTGCTTGCTTGCTTGCTTCTTTTGTAATCCAAAGGGTTGTCCCACTAGGGCAGGTTGCTGCTTGCTGGGCTGAGTGAGGAGCCACCTGGAGAACTGGCTGCCCGGCGCCTCCCGCTCCCTATTTAAACCAGAGTTCTCGGGGCGCCCCCTGGTGGTTTCACTCGAGCACGTCTCTGGCGCCTCCTCGGCTCTCACTCAGCACCCTATCCCAGCACTGAAAGCCTGAGGTTAGACCTGGGCTGATTCCCACCCACCCCCCAAAAAATGCAATTCTTCGTTGGAATTGAGAGCAGTGAAAATGAGCTTTTTTCCCTCCAGAGTCCTCCTTCGCTCTGTGTTCAGCCAGTTTAAGGCGCAGGTCTATCGGAAGGCCAGCCGGCCAGCCACCCCTTCCAGGCTGGAGCCCGTGTGTGCAGGATGATGTATTTATTCTCTCGCGTCTGGCTCATTTAGGGATCCACCCTGTTCCCTTGCTCAAGTCAGGGAGCAGCTTTGGATGAGCTCAGCCAAACACCCCTGATTCACAGAGTCTTTCTTGCAACAGATACTCTCCGTCGGATCTGGTCTCTCCTGTTCCAGATCTCCTTGCTCCCGACTCGTCACCGTTTCAGTGGTGCTCTTTTCCCCTTGTCATGCTTTGGGGCACAGCACATGCTCAACCTTCCCCCTGGCTTTTAAATTATTTTGAGCATTTGAAGCATTTACAAGCGTGCACAGAGTGTTTTCAATCTGTGATTTTAATTTCAGTCATTTTCAGCTTTACTGTTGTTTGTTTGCTTGCCTTGGTTAAATCGGCAACATCTGCCCACCCTCACTCCATTATTACAAACTGGCCTGAAAAGGAATCAATAAGTGAAAGGAGGAATTTGGAACAACAGCAAGCAAGCAAGCAAACCAATGAACCCCAAATTCTTACGGAAACAAATAAACCAGTTTTGCTCACTCTGTCTCTTTTTAAAATACGTGGAGCTGGCAGACAAACACCCATGTGCTATTCGGCCACACACATCTCATGCAAAGAACTTCAGCCAGCGAAGACCTATTTTTACCTGTCTAATTTGGATGCAGGAGACACGATTTTTCAAAGAAGAGGTTGCGTGTGAGCAAGAACAGTCTGAATCTTGATAGCTTCTCAGGTGCACGACATTTACAGCACTTGCTTTTTGGGCAGTTGCCACCTCTTAGCTTAGCCTACCCTGTAGGGTTGTTGTTAAGATAAACCCACACAGATTCTCTTGGAGTTCTAGGGCAAAGAGTGGGATACCGTCATTGTGTTTCGTTCCCCAGCAAACTGATGATTTATCGGTTTAGTATCATTTGCAGGCTGCCTTTCTCCTAGCGAGGAGATGCAAATGAGAGGGGAGCAGTTAACTTAGAGAGGGCATTTGATAGCCTCTTAGCTCACCGGATAGCCCAGGGGTTGAGGTCTCTGGTTGGGGAGCCAAAGGTTGGGAGTTTGGTTCCCGGCCATGTCTCCTGGGAGAAAGAACCAGCCTGGGTGGCCTTGGGCCAGCTGCACGGTAGTCCTGGACCATCCCTCCCAGGAGAAGGGAAAGGAAACCACTTATGAGTCTTCTCTACCTAGTACTGTAAACCCTGGAAAGGGTTATATCATAAGTCAAAACTGACTCAATGGCACTTGATGATGATGATGATGATTTTAGCTCACTTGACAATCTGTACCAAAGTTAAAAATGACTGACCTAGAGAGGTTTGTTAGGTGCTCATTGTCAGCATCACCAACCACCATCAGTAAATTATGGATCCTAAGTTTACAAAAGCAACTGTCGCTGAACATCAGCATCAAAAATGAAACAGAAAAAAGGAGACTTGGCTTTTCCCCCTTCGTTCTTTTCTCTGTCTCTGTTTTTAAAGGCCAGACTCCAGAGCAAACGTATTCACGTGGGCGAACTGGCATTTGAAAAGGCACCGTCGGTGAAGAAGGTCGTCTAGAAAACAGCAGCTGTTGCCTGAATTTGCACTCGCGCCAGAACAAAGAACTGTTTGGCCTTTGCGATGCTAGGGCCCCCCACTCCCCAAAGAGCCAGCCAGCCAGGAGGGCATCCTCAGGTGGGAGACGGCGAGCGTTGACGTCCACATACCCTCTTGTGGGCCATGGCTTCCTCTCCCTGGCAATGCTTCCCCAAGAAGAAGTCCAAAGGGTTTACGTTTCCTGCTTGCGTTCTTCAGGGGTGATTTAAATACAACAACAAGACTTTGTTATCCATGCGGAGTGGGTTCCAACACACACACACCCGCAGTTGCCGAAAAACGTGGAAGTATCGAACACTACACCTTGCATGATCTCTGGTTCCTTCTAGTGGCCAGTTCTGGTAAATACACCCTGGAAATACATATAAATATATATTTCTAGATTTTTTTTTTATTTAGTAGTTGCAGGCAGTGCTCACTGGAAGGACAAATCCTGAAGCTGATGCTCCAATACTTTGGCCATCTCATGAGAAGAGAAGACTCTCTGGAAAAGACCCTGATGTTGGGAAAGAGTGATGGCGC